AAAAAAAAAAAAAAAAAAAAAAAAGAAAAAAAAAGAAGAAGACTTGACATACTCATGAATTTCAAACAAATAAGTACACATACATTTGAAACAGAATAAAACAAAATAAAATCATTGAAAACCAATCGAGTCAATAATCCCCAAAACCACATCACAAATGCCCTTCAACCCGTCCTCCCTAACCGCGAGCTCGGGAGGGTACACCAGCCCCGGGTACCGCCTGAACCCGTTGCGACAGGAATTGGGGTAATCGGCGGCAGCCATGACGTGGATGTAGGCATAATCGTACGAGTCGTCGAGCAAGTCCTGCACCGAGCTCCGGAGCGCCTCCCCAGCCAGCGCGTACTTGTCCGCGCACTCCTTCATGACCAACGCCGTCTCGTTTTTGGCCGACGAGAGGTATGCGCTCGTGGCGGTCGCGTTAGCCACTCCCAGACGGATCATTATGAGGGCCAGGCCCTTGGTGTCCGCTTTCGCGCTGGAGGCGTCGGATTTCAAGGAGGAAACGCAGAGGTCGTAGTGTTTGGTGTTCTTGCACGTCTGTTGGATCAACGTGCTCGGTTTCGATGAAAGTGACGAGAAGATGGCCAGAATGGTTAAGAACATCAGCAGAAAACGCCAAGAAGATGCCATTATCTTTGGGTAAGTTTATGGCTCAGTTGCGAATGGTATAAAAAGAGGCTGGTTTGGTTTGGGTTATATAGTATGAATTTTTGCCTTGGTAAAAAATCTTTTTTTATATGAGTAAACCAACATGTTTTATATTTGTGAATTTAAATAAAGACTAGTATTCATCATGTGCACATGCACAAAGAAAAATAAAAATTTATATATTATATTTATGTATACAATGTATGCAAATTTTATATTAAATAATTGATGTATTACATTTTAAATTTGGACTACATTCAAATGTGTAATGTAAATATAATTTATTAACTTACGTATGAATCTTTATATTGATGCCATAAATTTTAATGGCTAATATAATTTAGTAATTTAGAGAGACCATACAATTAATTAGTTAGAAAAGTATTACAATTATTTTTATCATTGTTATAACATTTGTTTATGTGATTTTAAGGTGTTTAATTATGACACTCATGACAATTAACTTATTAGATAAAAATCGCTTAAAAAGAACAAAAATATTTTATTTTAGAAAAAGTATTTTAAAGAAAAAAATTGCAATACAATTTTTTATAAGTATGTAACTTCCACATACTATTTAATGTAAAGTTGTAATCAATTAGTGTTAGTAGTGAATAAATTATATTAAAATTATTATTACATCTTATTAATGTAAAATGTAACGTTTCTACGTTAATTGAAAAAATGAGCGGAAAAATGAAGGGAGATTTTATTAAATTCTGTATGTCAGCAATTATATATATAGATAATATAATTTTTTAAAATTCTTCGTAAGAAATTCCAATCGTATAAAATATTTAGCAGGAAAAGTGATATTTATTGAATCTCATTGGAATTTGGGAAAAGACTAACAAAAAAAAA